ACCTCCTGTCCCACTGACTCACAACACAACTTGAACTTCCAGTAGATCCAGGTCTCAGGCTGTAGATTCAGGTCAAGCGCTGTAGATCCGGATCTCAGATTATAGATCCAGGTCTTGGGCTATGGATCCAGGTCTCAGGCTGTAGATCCAGGTCTTGGGCTATGGATCCAGGTCTCAGGCTGTAGATCGAGGATTCAGGCTATGGATGCAGGTCTCAGGCTATGGATCCAGGTCTCAGGCTGTAGATGCAGGTCTCAGGCTGTAGATCCAGGTCCCAGGCTGTAGAACTAGGACTGTGATAAACGTTTCACTTTAGAAATTACCAAGATCTCAGGTTATAAACAAAACAGAGTTTCATTAGCAAAAAAAATCATTGTTACCAAGGCTTTATATAGGAAGATTAATCCTTCTAAAATGTCTACTGCCACATTTCATGCATTGTTACCATTATCTACTGTACTTGCAGTTGCAACATTCACTCTGTTTTGTGCAATAAAAACCTCTAAAAATGTGAGCTTTGAACACAGTGAAACGTAAGACTAATCTGCATCTGTTTTTGCTCTAACAACACATGCCTGAATGATGACAATTTAACGCCACAAGTTTCTCCAAAAAACAAAAGTATAGCTTGTCTCATTACCGTCTGTATTACAAAAATGTACATAGCAATACTCACCCATCACTGAGATCACGCGCCATTCGACTCTGGGCTTTCATCCTGCTTGTTATAATCGTTAAACAAGTCTAGCTGTTTTTCCTTTGTTGATTTGAGACGAGCCATTAGTGTTTTCCTGCTTTGTTTACCCCCGTCTTGTGATTGCCTTAGATGTTTTTTAAGCAGCGCGCTCCGGTCGGCTCTGCGCTGCCTGTAATGGGTTGTGACAGGTAATCCAAACACATAACATTAGAATAAGAAGCGAGTCACTGATCCAGCCAACTCACAAAGCCCCCGCAGGCAATTGCAAGAAGTCTTCTCGCAGTTGCAGCATAGTTCACAAGACTAAAAATACATCTGTCGTTCTGCAGAGAAAATCCCGGGAATTCAGGGGAAAACTCGTTGTCACTGATGGTCAAACCACAAATCATTTCAGCAAGCCCAAAGGACGTGTGAGAGAGAACTGTAAAACCACGATTTAAAAGATTTCTTCTGTTTTAAATGAGGATCGATTATATACATGGCCAGGCAGATGTTCCCCCTTTGGCTCTGGCATATGCATCTGTAGAAATGTTACTGTTAATGTTATTCACCTTGAGAGCCGTTGCAAAATCATCTCCCAATCTTACAAACACGGTTTAGATTAATTAAATAATGCCTGGAACCCGAACACTATTTCCTGCAGAATTGAATCTGACTTTCAAAAAACACCTTTCACTCAGCATTCAACATAGAAAGTATAAAGGTAAAATGTGATGACCAAGGATATCTTTTTTGTGCAGATTTCAGAGAACTGAAACCATCCATCCATCCATCCATCCATTTTCTTCCGCTTTATCCGTTGCCGGGTCGCGGGGGCAGCAGTCTAAGCAGAGACGCCCAGACTTCCCTATCCACACACACCTCCTCCAGCTCGTCCGGGGGGACCCCAAGGCGTTCCCAGGCCAGCTGAGAGACATAGTCTCTCCAGCGTGTCCTGGGTCTTCCCCGGGGCCTCCTCCCGGTGGGACGTGCCCGGAACACCTCCCCAGGAAGGCGTCCAGGAGGCATCCTGAACAGATGCCCGAGCCACCTCAACTGGTTCCTCTCGACGTGGAGAAGCAGCGGCTCTACTCCGAGCTCCTCCCGTGTGACCGAGCTCCTCACCCTATCTCTAAGGGAGCGCCCAGCCACTCTGCGGAGGAAGCTCATTTCGACCGCTTGTATCCGCGATCTCGTTCTTTCGGTCATTACCCAAAGCTCATGACCATAGGTGAGGGAGGGAACGAAGATTGACCGGTAAATCGAGAGCTTCGCCTTTCGGCTCAGCTCCCTCTTTACCACAACGGTCCGATACAGCGACCGCATCACTGCGCACGCTGCACCGATCCGCCTGTCAATCTCACGCTCCATCCTCCCCTCACTCGTGAACAAGACCCCGAGATACTTGAACTCCTCCACTTGAGGAAGGACCTCTCCACCCGCCTGAAGAGGGCAAGGCACCTTTTTCCGGTCGAGCACCATGGCCTCGGATTTGGAGGTGCTGATTCTCATCCCAGCCGCTTCGCACTCGGCTGCAAACCGTCCCAGTGCATGCTGCAGGTCCTGGTTCGTTGGAGCCAGCAGGACGACATCATCCGCAAAAAGTAGAGATGAAATCCTGTGGTTCCCGAACCGGACCCCCTCCGGCCCCTGGCTGCGCCTAGAAATTCTGTCCATAAATACAGTGAACAGAACCGGTGACAAAGGGCAGCCTTGGCGGAGGCCAACATGCACCGGGAACAGGTCTGACTTACTGCCGGCAATGCGAACACAGCTCTGACTCCGGTCATACAGGGACCGGACGGCCCTCAGCAGAGGACCCCGGACCCCGTACTCCCGGAGGACCCCCCAAAGGACACCCCGGGGAACACGGTCGAACGCCTTCTCCAAATCCACAAAGCACATGTGGACAGGTTGGGCGAACTCCCATGAACCCTCGAGTATCCGATGGAGAGTATAGAGCTGGTCCAGTGTTCCGCGACCGGGACGAAAACCACACTGCTCCTCCTGAATCCGAGATTCGACCATCGGACGTAGCCTCCTCTCCAGTACCTTGGAGTAGACCTTACCGGGGAGGCTGAGGAGTGTGATCCCACGATAATTGGAACACACCCTCCGGTCCCCCTTCTTGTAGAGAGGGACCACCACCCCGGTCTGCCACTCCATTGGTACCGCCCCCGATCGCCACGCGATGCTGCAGAGACGTGTCAGCCAAGACAGTCCTACAACATCCAGAGACTTTAGATAGTCAGGACGGATCTCATCCACTCCCGGCGCCTTGCCACCATGGAGGCTGCCAACCACCTTGGTGACCTCGGCCAGGGAGATGTAAGTATCCGCCCCAACATCCTCAGCCTCTGCCTCCTGGACGGAGGACGTGACGGGGGGATTGAGGAGAACCTCGAAGTATTCCTTCCACCGCCCGACAATATCCCCAGTCGAGGTCAGCAGCCCTCCACCCGCACCATACACGGTGTTGGCAAAGAACTGCTTCCCCCTCCTGAGGCGCCGGACGGTTTGCCAGAACCTCTTTGAGGCCGACCGATAGTCATGCTCCATGGACTCTCCGAACTCCTCCCAGACCCGGGTTTTTGCCTCTGCAACAGCCCGGGCCGCGGCACGTTTGGCCTGCCGGTACTGGACAGCTGCCTCAGGAGTCCCACGAACCATCATTGCTCGATAGGACTCCTTCTTCAGCCTGACGGCATTCCTTACTGCCGGTGTCCACCACCAGGTTCGGGGATTGCCGCCGGGACCAGCACCAGAGACCTTGCGACCACAGCTACGAGCCGCCGCATTGGCGATAGAGGAAGAGAACATGGTCCACTCGGACTCGATGTCCCCCTCCTCTGCCGGGACCTGGGAGAAGCTCTCCCGGAGGTGTGAGTTGAAAGTCCGTCTGACAGGGGGCTCAGCAAGACGTTCCCAGCAAACCCTCACTACACGCTTGGGCCTGCCAGGTCTGTCCGGCCTCCTGCCCTGCCAGCGGATCCAACTCACGACCAGGTGATGATCGGTTGACAGCTCCGCCCCTCTCTTCACCCGAGTGTCCGAGACACGCGGTCGAAGGTCAGATGATACGACAACAAAGTCGATCATCGACCTCCGGCCTAGGGTGTCCTGGTGCCACGTGCACTGATGGACACCCTTGTGCTCGAACATGGTGTTCGTGATGGACAAACTGTGACTGGCACAGAAGTCCAACAACTGAACACCGCTCGGGTTCAGATCAGGGGGGCCGTTCTTCCCGATCACCCCTCCAAGTGTCACTGGCATTTCCCACATGGGCGTTGAAGTCCCCCAGGAGAATAACGGAGTCCCCGGGCGGTGCACTGTCCAGTACCCCTCCCAAGGACTCCAAGAAGGCCGGGTACTCTGCACTACCGTTAGGCCCGTAGGCCGTCACAACAGTGAGAGACTTGTCCCCCACCCGGAGGCGGAGGGACGCGACCCTCTCATTCACCGGGGAGAACTCCAACACGTGGCGGCTGAGATGGGGGGCAATGAGTATGGCCACCCCAGCTCGCCGCCTCTCCCCGCGGGAAACGCCAGAAAAGTGGAGCGTCCAACCCCTCTCAAGGAGTTGGGTTCCAGAGCCCAAGCTGTGTGTGGAGGTGAGGCCGACTATCTCTAGTCGGTATCGCTCAACCTCCCCCACAAGCTCGGGCTCTGGAACTGAAACCAGTCTTCTCTAATTCAATAATTTGCTTCTGGCAGCTGACAATGAAGCATATCTTTACTTTGATAATACTAGATATAGCCTATTACAACGTTGGTGTATTGTCAGAGAGGCACAAGTTAAGGAACAGTGAGCTGGAGGAGAGGGAGTTCTTGGCATCGCTGCTTTAGACTGCAGCCTCCGCAGCCGGCAATGTATAAAGTGAAAGAAAATGAATAGAGGGCCGGACTGACAATCCAATGAAAGATGTCCTATTGGTTTCACAAAAAGCCTATAGTTTAAGAAATAATCCAGTGGGCAATACTGTCATTAATTTGAAAAAATAATAATGTGCAAACCTGTGAATTCAACTATTTGTATTTTGTATTGTATTTTTAACGGTGGTGCAGTGGTTGGAGCTGTTGTCTCCACAAGCAGGTCCTCTATTCGATTCCTGGCGGCATGTTCTCCCAGTGACATGCTCTGGTTTCCCTTACCACTAAAAAACATTTACAAATGGGAGCATGGATGAAAACTAGCCATGAGCTATATCTGGAGTGTTTCCTGGTGTAGCAGTCTTTTCAATTTTGCACACTGTCCCATTCAAATGAATAACTACTTGTTGTGTGATTGTTATTTACAGTCTATGTGTGTGATGTGTTACAGATGAGGACTCCAGGGAAGACCCTGGAGGAGAGGCGCTCCAGTTTGGACGCTGAGATCGACTCGCTCACCAGTATCCTGGCCGACCTGGAGAGCAGCTCGCCATACAAGCCCCGCCCCGCACAGGTATCATGCTCTGGGCACTCACATGGTGACTCACATGGTGGCACATGGTTCTGGATGTTTGGAATGGGCGTAGAATTAATACACTAATCATATACAGGAAAATAATTCATCTTAATGAGCTTTAAATTTGTCTGTTATGTGAAAAGTATCTGAAATTGTATTGCAGAGGTTCAAAATTAATAAATAAATAGTGAATTAGAAAAGGTCTTAAAAAGTGATAAAGCTACACACAAATATTGAATCACTGGTAAAGCATAGCTTTCACTATTGTATAAGTTGGACCTGACCTATATCATTAGTTGATATTAGATTATATTAAGAGCAACTTTTAAAAGTCACAGCCAGGGGCAGTTCACTAAATAGTTTGACACACAATGAATGTAGGACACGCAGATTATAAAAAAAAAAAAAAACTCTTCCAATTGTGTTTGAAGAGAAAAGACTCCCGGGTTTACTATAGCATTCATATTCGTCCCATGAGATTTCAAGCAGTGGCCCAAAAAGCGCAATGCACCTATAGATCTGCACATTTATATTGCAATAATTCACTGTAATACATAATCTATTATATGAATAAATATGGCAGCAAATGTCCTGCAAAATACATTTTCCTTTCAGTTTGTTTTACCCCTGTTTCAACTCAATTGCACTTGATATTCTGTAGGTTATGATTATTGAAAATGTGGATGGCCAAATAGAATAGTACCACAACATCCTTGAACTATTATGTTTCTTTAATTTGGCCTCTGCGCTTTGCATGTTTTTTTTTCTTTTATTAAATCTTACAGACGGCTGTCAACATCTATAATGTTCACTCATGCTTTTGTAAACATGTGGATTTAACATGTATACTAGGTATATTACATACATAACGATAACCATATTGTTAGATTTCTCATTGTGGCTCCAAGTTTTCAGTTTTCAGCTGCAAGAGAAGATGATAGCAGCAATGCATGAAATGTGGCAGTAAATATTTTACTATTCTCTCTTCCTATGTAACAATGACCTTTATGAATGTTTTGTTCTAATGAATCTCCAGTTTGTATGAAACATGAATTCTTGGTCATTTGTGAAGAGAACGTTTATCACAGTCCACACAGCCTCAGAGTAATGGATCTACAGCCTCTCCGTCCTGTGGGCAAACAGCGCTTTGATTTCTGTAGTCTTTCTACGAGAGCAGTTTGCTTAGAGCCAAGTCTGTGAGTCCGTGTGTCGCGTAGGAGCCACCTCTCATAAGCCTGTTTTTTACATATTCCAGGAATTGCTAATAGTTACTGAAATTGCAGACAAAAAGGATTTTATCAGTGTTTGGATTTGCCTTTGAGACGCAGCATGTTATTTTCAAAGAAGTCTATTGTTGGAGCTGAAGACTCTGTTAACCTGCATCCATGTTTGTTTTTGCACAGTTGACCTCATCTCGTTGGGCGGACAAAGCCTGCAGCGGAGGTCAAAGCATATTTACATTCTATAAGTTTGTGGCTTTGAAAGTAACAGGCTCTCATCTGTGATCCTTTTGATGCTTTTGTCCAATAGACATCAATAGAAATGGCAAAAACCTCTTATTAGCCACATAATGGTGCTGTGTAGCTGTATGTCAAGAGCGTTTGATTGCCATACTGTACAAACTTATACACAGACAACATTCACCTGAGTGCAGCCAGTCGACAAGAAAGTCCTTCTTTCTTTACAAAGTGCTAAAGAGTTGTTCCTAAATAAAATATAGTTTAAGTGCACAAGTTTGTGTAGAGTGTATGTTAAAGTATAGACTTTGAAAGCTTTTGTCTACAGAGTGTGAAATATTGATATCACCTGTATGGCGACCGGTGTAAGTGATGTACTGTATGTATTTTACCTGTCGGGTCATAGTGCTCTCATTCCTGCTGTGTGTGTGTGTGTGTGGTACATGTTTTAAGCATGAGCTCTAACGTATTAGACTTGACCTGCAGTTCACACAGAGCTTTGACTCCTGCTGTGGAGGCTTGTGTACTGTATACAGTCAGAGTATATGTTCGGGAGAGTGCATGAGTGTGTGTGTGTGTGTGTGCATGTGCATATGTAGTAAGTTGTTTGTGAGTGTAGCGCTCTCTCGGCTGATGCTGATTCCAGCTGATTAACTCAGGTTGACCTTTTCCCCTCAGCAGCTGCTCTTGTCAGTCTTTGCATTATTCTACATAGTCAGGTCTCTGCTGCAGAAACACAGTCAAGTCTCTCCTGCTGAAGACGAAGCCTCATGATTTACTGCTTTCTGCGCACAAGCAATTACAGCGCAGCATCAAAATCAATAGGCGTCCTCCTCTGCAGCTGGGAGCAGCCCTGTGCTACAGTTGGACTGAGGCCCAAGATCCGATTCATTCATAACGAGAGCGCCTCTTCTTTACACACATCACAACCGTTTAGTTTGCTTTAGTGGTTACCTCTGTGGCACAACAGTGGCTAATGAAATGTGAGCGTTATATAATCCCCATTTGTTCTCTCTGTGCTTCATCTTAGATGCCATTTGTAATTTGACACACTTAACTAAGTCTGTTTATCCTGCGACAGCAAAATCAACTTCCACATCATCAGGGCAATGGAGCTTCCTCCTTTTCTCACACACGCACCTGTGAAATGACTTCAGAACATGTGTATATCATTATCCTTTACAAATGAAAGTAGACATAAGATGCTTCTGTCCTACCAATGACACCTGATGTTCCTTATTTAGTCCATTTGAAATCTCAATATTGAGCTTAAATAATAACTTAAAGGAATCCTCCAAGATCAATGTTACTCAAAATGACTTCAAAATCATGTAAAAATGATCTGTGTTTGCTTTCCCCACCCCAACAGAATCAGGACACTTGTACATACTGTATGTAGTTCTTGTCTGATTGCTACGGAGCTAATTGGGGACACTTCCTTATTTGACATTGCCTCTCCAAGCTTTTCAGACATTGCCGCTGCTCTAATATTTATCCAGTCTTTTTGTCTTCTAATTCTGCGCCTGGCTGATGATCGGAGAGCGTGCCATTCAGGTTTGCTTCAGTGTGGTTGAAGCGATGCCGCTAATGCGCAGCGCAGGCCTGTCGGACTGCATCAGATCTGTTGTGGGGGAGTTAACAAGCCGACCTAGATGAATGTCAAAATAGTGTGTTCTTCAAGATACTAGCATCTGTAGCTCTGTGCTGGAGAAACACACCAAGATAGACTGCTGTGACCTCTTGTTCACACTCACTGCTGCTGCTACTGCTGCTGCTGCTGAGGTTTCTATCTATCTATATCTGGTTAGATATACCTGTGGTACATGTTTGTAATGGTTCCACATCTATCAACTTTGAAGAGAAAGTTTGTAAATAAGATGGACATTACAGTCAGTGTTGAAAATCTTTTACATATTTTTAGATGCGTTGTTGCTCGTAAATGGAAAATGTGAAGCCTTTTCCCCCTTCTGAGCGTTTCAGGTCACGCTGTCTCAGATCCATGTAGATCATCATCAGCATCTAGTGGTGGTGTATGGGAGAATACAACAGGGTCAGACCATTTGATTACAAATGTAGGATCTTCTGTACACAGTAGCCCAGGTTTCTTATATGTATTTGTTTACATTTAAGTTCATATTATTCAGTTAAGGATAAGACACACTCAGTATTGGATTTCTGCCTACCCACTTGACAAGAAGCCAATCTTTACTGAGTTTTTTGGCCACTGTAAAATATATATATTTCTTTTTTTCTACACACCCATAATTAATTTATATCTGCAGACCTCCTCCTAAAAAAAAACACTACATCACTGTGCGATCTGCGTGTGTTGTTCATCCACAAACAAAAGTAAATAGTGACATTGGTGTCCCAGCTGAACTGTAATGCGCTTCCTCCATTAGAGCTGCCCTCAGGTCTGATCCCACTTAACGTGTGTGATAAGATTTAAGCTGAAATTAAAAAGCTCCTCCTGTCTGCCTCTCGCACGCCGCCAAACGGTAATGTGCAGTCTAATTAATAAAAGATTCAACAGCGACGAAAAGACTTCCAGTGTCTCTTCTTTCCTTTTTTCCCACAGAGGTGTGTGTTGGTGAGTGTTTACAGAGGCATTCAAAAGTCACTCGGAGCCTCCTGGCAATGGAAGAACTTTAGGAAGAGCAGATTCATTCACACAGTCCCACGGTTTAGAGTAGAAGGAGTAGAGAGAGGTGCACATTAATGGAACTGGTCTATGTATCAATTTAATCAATTTAGGACTGCAATCTTTGGCCTATATGTTTAGTAGATACAGTTATCTATTTCAAACCTGCACAGCAAGAATTTTCAATTTCAATACATTTTTGTAAAGCATATTTTGTAATTCTTGCTTCTCCATTATGCCAAAGTTGAGGATTTTAGACTTACTTCATTATTCAATGTCAATTCAATGTATTCTTGTATCACAACAGTAGTTATCTCAGAGGACTTTGCACAACCGTTTAATTTGGTATCGGTCCATAAGGGGCAGATGACCAATGGCTTAAGTGTTGATAAATGTTTATATATTTCTTATGCTAAAGTAAGACATTGTATTTCTTTTAGTATAGAGTTTAATTTCTTGGGTAACCTTGCACACTTATTCCAAAGTGGAGTTATTCCATTACTGCAAATGGCAAATAAACGGAATCTGAATCTGTTAGCATTGAGTTGTTTGCATGTTCTCTCTCTCTCTCTCTCTCTCTATATATACATATGACAGCTTTAGTTTCACCTGTCTGCCTCCTCTCCTCTCAGTCTCAGTTGTAGATCGTCCGTGTCAAACAGCCCGACGTGAATGTGATCAGATGTCATGTCCGCTCCGCATGTTCCACGCGGCTTTGACGTGTGTTTGACAGTTTAGCTGCGGTTTCGTGTTTGGGATGCAGCTGCGATGAACTCCTTGTCACACCTGCCCCGAGGAGCATCGGACTCGACCCAAAAAGTACCGCCAAATGTGTAGGCTAACATGTCCACGAGTTGAAACGACTGGATTTACTTACATATTCCCAACATATCTTTCCA